TTTGAACCGTATATTTTACTGGCAAGGGCCAAGCAAATTAAAAGTTATATTAGGCTACATCCTGGCTACGTGGATTAATTACGCTATAAATTAAAACTCTGTCCGAGCATTGCAACATAATACGAATTCAACAGCTGACTCTTCCACAGTCCCTCATCCGTTATCCGTACGCGCGGTCGCGTTAATTTGAGGCTCCAGATTCTATCGCATTCCCATTAAGCACCGCGCTCCCATTGTTTTTCCACTGATCTCTATTCCCAACTGAAGCGACGAGGGACGAGGCAGGTTCAACAGTTCAAGTGTTCATCAATGATGATTAAATTTAAAAAAATTATTTTACAAACATTATTTATAAAATTAAATTAAAATTATTTATAAACTTATTTATATAATGTTATAGATGATGATACCCTATCATGTAAATTTACATAAAATTATTTTGTATTTCTATACTATTATACTATATCATGGATATCTTGTGGACAATCGACTGGACTGGTATATTATGTTCTGACAATTTTTGAAACTCACTTAAAGTAGGCTATCATTATTACTATACTCTATAGTATTAGTTTGTTCCTTATATTAATCAATGTATTCTTGTAATTTTTATGTATATGTAGCTATCTATATATGTATATCGAAACTGGTATTTATGTTGATTAAAGATTATTGTAACACTACATCTAAAAATTGCTGTGAGCCCTCAAATTTAGATTTATATACCCCTATTCAACCCCCTAAAACTAGTTCCATCAATTATTCACTGTGTCTAATTGTTCCTAGTGCTTGAAGCGTAACAGCTAATTATCCTTTCCAGAACAACAAGTTTGTTTAGAGATCAGTAGACCCCAGCAGTCTGGTATCCAAAAAAGAGACCTTAAAATTGACGTTTACGGCAAACTGCAAACGGCTAAGTTAACTTCATGTCGTATTTTGAGGTCAACTGTCGAATTACTACTTACTTGTCGCGGAAAATTTAACTGAAGAACTTACTTTCAATGCGCGCATTTGAAGTTTCTTGTTTGCGGTCTGGCGTGAAACTGAAGCTCTCTATTCTCTAATATTAATTATCATGTCATGTTGGGATTTTTCCGCATCTTTCAGCCTTTACTAAGAAATATAACAAAGAATGTTATATTAGCCCTTCAGCGATAATTGCTTCAGACCACCCAGTTAGCTCTTTGTTATCGTGTCAATGTATTTTCGATAAATAACCACGCACTCGCTGAATCGTCAATCATTTGTGGTGAAACTTTGTTAAAGTCATGTTGTTCAAAGTCTTCAAATTGCTGATTGTTATATACAGTTTCGTGTTACTGACTGGCAGTGCAAAAGAATGTAAATCTGGTCAGAACTGTGTGTTAAGATGTTGCACCTTACCTGGGGCTGATGTGCTCTGTCGTGAGAGATGTTTGGGGTTATCATGTGAACTTGATGTACATTGTGATGGTGACTGCTGTGTAAACTCAACATGTAGCAGTTGTCTTTTGAAAAGGTTTGTAAATATTTGGCTGTTAATAGATTTCGAGCAAGAAAAGAATATCTTTGGTAATAATATTAATTCTGGTCAGAATAGAATATTTTTCTGATGAGAATATAAATCAGGCCCGACCAGGGATTTCACGTATATTGGTAATTTAGATTATTTTACTTTTACACGATTAAGCAATTAAGTACTTAAACCGGTTTTCCACTAGCGAATTATTTCGTGCGAAGCGACTATTTGCTTTTGTCCTTGAGCTTTCAGCTGGAACATTTGGAACTATAATTAGTTTTGGACAACTAAAGGCCTGATTCCACGAGACGGAATTTTTCGACCGAAACGAAATTTATCTTTGTCTTTTTACAATTAGTTCTGCTCGAGAGCTCATAAACAAAGAGAAATTTCGATTCGGTCGAAAAATGTCGCCTAGTGGAAAACCGCCCTAAGAATGAAGTCGATTCGCGCGAAAAAAATCGCTAGTGGAAAACCGGCTTTAGGTAGACAGACACACCGAAAGCCCTGGGAACGAGGTTGAGACAGACCCCATGCACCCTAGCATTTTAGGTACACTGGTATATTGAGCCAGTATTATTGAGTATGTTGGTATTCTGATAACCCCTGGCATATACATGAGATGAATATTTTATTTTACTTAAGTTCTCTAAGTCACTGATAACAATCCGAATCTTCGATAAAGGCATTCAGTTCTTCAGTATCAACCTCGTTCTTTATACGAGAGTGCACAAATCACGTTGTTGGTTTCACAAACGAGTCACTATATAAAAAGTTTACATGAAGTAGTGCATCGCGACGAACAAGCGCAGGGGTTTTCATATCCCATCCCCCTTTGCGCGCCTTTAACGACGCGCTACTTCATGTAAACCTTTTATATAGTGACTCGTATGTGAAATCGTTTTATAGCGCCTGGGGACGAGGCAGTTTTCTTTATACGAGAGAGTGTACAATGTTTTGCCTATATTTTGCACATTTTGGCCGTTATTCCAGAGATTATTAGGGTTTATAGTTCATTGTAGGCCAAAAGTGCTGGTTGTAGAATATTAATTGCAGCCTGTTAACAACAAATGTGTCGTATGATAGTCGAGTAAACAAGCTTTCACTTAATTAACTTTTACAGGCACGTTTACCCAGTACTAAAGGCTGTCCACATTTTTAATCCCCATCCGTTACACGACAACAAGGTAGAACAGTTTAGAAGTGATTGAGTTATCTAGTTTAGGTAAAGTTCTTGAGTAATTATTCATATAATAACCTTTCTATAGGCTTTCTTTGACGGGTTCGAGCCGTGTTCACAATTCAACTCGGCCCACGTCGAATAAGCATTCAACTACAAACTTCGTGACTACAGATGAACCAAAAGTTCCGACAGAAGCGAAGACGACGAATAGAGAAGATCGAGTCAAGGTGACAAGAAACACTTCACCTACTCGTTTACATCCATCAGGCTGTTTGGCTGTCCAATGTCTCAGTGAATGCTGTATTGATGGACACTGTGTTGACAGTAGTCAATGTGTGCCCGTCAAAGCTGCCCGTGGGGGTAGGGGTGGGGGAGGAGGGAGAGGCGGAGGGAGAGGGAGAGGGGGAGGGAGAGGGGGAGGGAGAGGGGGCGGGGGTGGTTTTTCTGTATCAGGACGAGGGGGCCGCCCACTTAAAACCTGGGCGATTGCTCTTTTTTTTGGTGTTTGGCTGATAATCGCCATTTTCATGATAAGCATTTTTTGTTGTGCAATTTTCGGTCCCTGCTAGTAATCGTAACTAAAGGAAGTATAATCTAAACGAACCTGTAAGGGTCTTGCCTGGTTTTAGTGTGCAGTGATAACTAATTTGCGCTGTATGTAATAATTAATAAAGTTGAAGTGTGCAGTGATAAACAGTAAAAATGTGCCATGATAACCGATAATGGTGTAGCTGTCGCTGTTGTTGATGTTGTTGTCTGGGTTGTTGCTGTTATTGTACGTACGTAATTTTGTTTTAATATGTTATATAAATTATTTATAGGATTTAATGTAATAATAATGTAGTGATGTTGTAATTTTGTCATTGAAAAGCCCCTTCAGGGGAGTGTCAATAAAGTCAATATTCAATACACTATTTTGAAATTGTTGTTTATATTCCTAATGTAAATAAAAATATTCGCGAGAGTTTTCTAAAAATCAGGGACGTGCTGGGCCCCGTGCCATCATGGGCCCCTAAAATTAAAACATTGGGAATATAGATTTTAATTTTGGAAATCAAGATTAAGATATTACAATTTATATTTTTAAAATCTAAATTTACGGAAATATTACCCAGAGTTTGGAGACTTGCCTCTGATTGGACAGTGCTTTATTTGAATAATTTATGACAAATGAAGCTATTTCACTTGTCATGGACCATTCCCCAATTAACCAAAATTTTTATTTCAACAAGTCTAGACAAAATTCCATCATAGCATGAAAGAGCATCACAAAATTAGTAATATTCCAAAGTTTCGTTGCAAAATGTTGTAAAATGCGGATAATATAGCCTTGTGAAATTTGCAATTTTCAGTCATTTTAGATTACAAATTAACGGGAAACGGTTACCACTTTTCCAAAATTTTGATCTTAACTAGCTTGAACAAAAATTTCATCACAACTTGAAAGAGCATCACAAAATTAGTAATATTCCAAAGTTTCGTTGCAAAATGTTGTACTAAAATGCGGATAATATAGCCTTGCAAAATTTGTAATTTTCAGTCATTTTAGATTACGCACAGAAGTGGTAACCATTTCCCGTTTGTTATAATCTAAAATGACTGAAAATTGCAAACTTCGCAATGCTATATTATCCGCATTTTACAACATTTTGCAACGAAACTTTGGAATATTACTAATTTTGTGAATTGTGATTTTTGTCTAGACTTGTTGAGTTCAAAATTTTGGTTAATTGGGGAATGGTCCATTGATAATTAGCATGCGTTTAGCCACAGCGGCCCAGACGTGTATTAGTGTATAGTAAATATATCATTTTTTTTTTTTTCTTGCGGTCCGAAGTCATATTTTACGCTTTTCTGCAATCTGATTGGCTACGTGAGCCAATACGTGAGCCAACAGCCTACCTCCGTATGAGCCCGTACGGACCGCGCGAGATTTAAAGCCGTAGAGCCAATGTTTTTATTTTTCAAAATTTAAAGACGAGTTTAAAGGCTACTTTTTAAAATATTAAAATGTCTGCAGACGATGAAGAACACAGTGAAAGCGAATTTTATTATCTCACAAAAGATATTACTCTTCCCGATAGCATTGATAGAAACGACATTTTATTTGGCAGCTTCATTCGCGTGCGGGAGGAGTGATTGGGGAAATCCAGAGGAGGAATTAAAAAAAAATAAAAATATTATTTACCGGCATGGTCGGTCCGTATAGGGAAATATTTCTCTCGGTCTTAAAAACGTCCCTCGGCCTTCGGCCTCGGGCCGTTTTTAAGACCTCGAGAAATATTTCTCTATACGGACCTCCAATCCGGTAAATAACATATATATAGAATATACTACACAGTAAAATTTGTAATGAATTTTATATTTTAAAATCATATTTACTTGCCTACTTTGATTGTATGTGATCGTCTTTTATTTCTGGGCGACTTTACACTGTGTGCCTGCGACTGTCAACATAGGTGATAGTAATGAAAGCAAAGGCTAACGATTCCAATTCTCAAACAGGCGACACGAACACTTCAACTCGAAAAATATCCCCTTCAAATTGCTTTGTTCCCGGTAAAAATTCGCCAGCGTATAGAATAAACACCCATCTTCGAACATACAAGGCAATATTAACATATCCTATAATTTTTGCAACGGATTTTTAGCGAAATGTTTCGAGACTAAAATTCTATGGAACTTAGAAAGCCCGATAATTACTACGGCGCTGCTTGGCCACCTAGCCTCCTTTACCGTTTGGATTGTCAGGGGGGGGGGGGAGATTCAAATAACAAACACCTATTTCCGGCAACAGCCAGCCAATCAACGCCGCGATACCGACTGTTTACAATATTTGAAATCTGATATTGTAATTTATCAACAACAAAACTCTTTCGATCGATCGATCGTATAGTATAAGATAGAAAGAGAGTTTTTGCAAATTACAATATCAGATTTCAAATATAGTAAACCGTCGCTATCGCGGCATTGATTTGCTGGCTGTTGCTGCTGTATACGATCGAAAGAGTTTTGTTGTTGATTTTTTTGCAAATTACAATATCAGATTTCAAATATTGTAAACAGTCCGTATCGCGGCGTTGATTGGCTGGCTGTTGCCGGAAATAGGTGCTTTTTATTTCATTTCTTTTTATTTCAATAGGTGCTATTTAAATTAAAGTATAAATACTAAATATTTATCATCATCAATAAAAAATATGCTAGATTTTAGCAGATCTAAGAGCCTGGGAACTAGGTTGATTCCAAGCATCTAAAATGGGTATTTTTGTGACCCAGGCGGTGTTGGTAACCACCGGATGGGAAATACCAGTAAGGATACGTCCAGGGTAAGGTTTATAGCTTAGTGACAAGAATTTGATTTCTTACACTGAGAATAAGCCAGGTCCACGCAGTAGTAAGAGTCGTCCCTTGTTAGTATACACGCAAGTATGCATGGTCCACAATAACGGATTTGTCGGCAAATTGTCTTCGTAGTAAGCGAAAATATTTGAGTGGCTCGGATTTAAAAGTAATAGTTATAGCAAACATTTTGATACATTTACGAAAACATTACCGAAAAGTTTAACTTTAGCCTCTTCGTGTCGGCCCTGCTGAACTCGCAATGCCGTACGTTTCCCAAATGGGCAACAAGCTTTTGGGCAAATGTTCAAAAATGGGAAGAACATTTAAATCCTAAAAGTGGAAAAATGCAATTTCAACCGACCACTTTAATTCAGATCGTATATTTGGTCACTTTTATCGCAATGATTCCATAAAGGTGTCATTTGACAGCTAAAAGTCTGATCTTTATAAATACGAAAACAGAAAACTTATAAACGTAATAATTAACACACGATAACCTGTCAAAGTTGGATTACCTTTTTTTATACACCTTTTATATGAAGTATTATTATATGGCTTTTCAAAATTCTCTATTCTGATTGGTTGA